GTTTCAGAGCCTTTATAGAAGCTCTTATCTTGTAAAATGTGCTTCCTTAATACAATGTGCCCTTGCCCTGCTCAGCCTTTTGTCTCCATGATTACACACACTCTCCTTCCCCTTCTCCCTCGCCCCATGCTACAATCCCTTTTTGTGTATTCCCACCAGGCACGCTCTGTCTATTGACTGAATGGAGACGGGCACGTGTGTGCTGCTCTGCCCGGGCAAACATTTGTGCACAGTGCTTGGGATGGAGGGAGAAGAATTGAAAGGCTTTTCTTTTATGTGCACAAAGGCCACTTTTTATTTTCCCCCTTTTCTTTTTCCCCTTTTGCACTTTGTTCTCTGCTAGTTCACTGCTGCAGCTTTCTTCTGGGACTGTACTAGATACCTTGGGCGTTTGTTCATAGGCTAATCCTGTAACCAAACAGGTCTAGGAGTGCGTATCGGTGTCTTGTCCCACTGGTTTTGTTCTGCTAACAGGGAGCCAGGTCTGTACATTCAGTTTGAACAGTGACAAAAATAAAGAACATTTCATTATTGTTATTAGTTGTGTAGAAGTGCTTCCTGCTGCGATGGCTTTTAGAGACCCCCTCGGCTGTTGTCCTGTGGAAGGAAACAGATTGAGATTTTTGCCTCCTGTGCACTTTACTCATTGGATTAAGGATAAAATTGAAGTGTTCCTAAAAGACTGGGTAGCCTTAAAAATGAATGAATACACAGGATTAAAAACCTGTGAGATAATTTATTTTTTCTAATCCTGTTTAGAAGTAACTATTGAAATAAATGGATTTACTGGTGGAGGTAAAACGAAAACCTGAATCTAGGAGGTCTCATTGTACATTTACCTTTTGAGTTGTTGAACTCTGAGGATCAGGTAATTAAATTCATGAGCCAGAGAAGAGATGAAAGTAGGTAGTAGGAGATATCATCCTTTAAAAATGTTAAAGTTCCAAAAGGAATTTAAATTCCTGTTATCTCCTGGATGAACTTGGCCATGGCCTTGTGTCTCCTGTTTCCCCGTATGATGGTGTTGCTTCTGAGGTGTATAACACCAAGAAGTGGTTGTGATTTTGTGTCATGAAACAATACTCTATCACAGTGCCTTTTTTTTTTTTTTTTTTAAACTGTAAAGGTAAATAGTAAAACTATACACAGTTACTTGGGAGGAGGGAGATTGGATCAGCTGAAGAGGCAGCTCCCTGCCTTTAAAGCAGATGGATTTGTGTGTCTTGTGAGGGGGTTCTTCCAACACACCTGCAAAGGGAGGGTGAGTCTTGTTGCGAAGCTTAAGATCCCCTCCTTCTTGGTAATATGTCAAGTGATGTCTGACTCTCTCACAGCACAAGATGTGAAGATAATATGCAGCCTACTGCATAAGCATTCTTTTAATTGCAGAAAATGTAACTTCCAAAATGCCAGGTGGAGGGGCATCTGTGGAGATTTCTGCTTAGAAATGAAGAACTGAAGAGAATAACGATGGGCCAGGTGTCTGCCTTTCATGAGGATATTCCCTGTGTCACATCTGGTGCCAACATAACTGCTACCCCTAAATGATAAGGAAGCTTTGCAGTCGGGGGAGGGCTGAGCTGTCAGGTGAGCCAGGGATCAAGAATTATCGTGACGGTTTGATGGCACATGAAGGATGCTGTGAAGTGTGGCGTGGTTCTGATGAGCAGAGGCTCAATTAGGTTCTCCTGGACGTGGGCTGACACGCCAGGCTAGCGGGAGCCATGTCACACTGTGCATTGAGCATGAGGAAGTGTTCTGGTCCATCAAATGTAAAATGACAAAATAATTTGTAATCTCTCATTACTAATCCCTGTGGTTTTTAGGTCTGTGCTTCCCTTGTGACATTATTCAACAGCTGATAGCTTTCTTTTCTTGCCAGCTACTTAAAAATGAAGGATACTATAATGGTTTTAGGAGTTAATGAAAATCTTCTACTTACAGCTTCATAGGAAAGAAAAATATATCAGATCTTAAATATGGTTACTAATGACTAAGGAGCCTTTATTTGCACCTGATGACAATTTACCACAGGTGGGTGCAGCCAAAGTTCATTATAGACTTTTCTTCCTAGATAGGAGGAAGTTTCTCCCAGTAAATAATCAGCTTGGGAATGTGCTGCAGAAGGCATGTATACTATGTGCACAGTTTTTTTTTCTCTAAATTGTTTAAAAGCTGAGAGCAACTCTTTTTGACTCTTACGTATGCAAAAAAGAGCACTAATAGGAGTGAAATATCCCTATCTGATACTCCTCGATGGGATGCTACCTACCTACAGTGCAGTCTTTGTCTTTCCCACACCCATTTAAAATTTGCTGGGGGTAAACAGCGATTCCTCTGTCCCCTCACAGGATTCACAGCACGTCAACTCCCATTTCATTTGTGCTGCAACACAACTTAACGCAAACATCGGGTGACCTTCCTTGTGGTCTCATCTAAACCTGGATCTGTGCCATGAAGCCATTTTTCTTCTTGGTGGTGCTCTGAACGCGTCTTCTTTCCTCTTGGCTTTCTGGTGAGGCCGGAGCCACCTCGGAGAGCTGGGGGCCGGTCAGGGCACAGTACTCTCAGCCAATATGCAATGCTCGTTTGTGTTTTAAATGCCTGAAACCTAAATCCAGGTGTTCTTCCAGTCATGCCTACTCTTCTCCTCGATTTATTTATTTAGTATGAAAATATTTAGTATATTAAAGAAGTACTTGGCCGTCTTTTTTTTTTTGTGCACATGCTGCATAATGGAGAAGGTTTCTCGAAAGTTTTCTTACAAGTGGATTCCCATGTGGTGCCTGTTAGTCACAGCTAATTACAGAGGCTGGGGAATGAAGAATATATCAGAGCTCAGGTTCCCCTCCTCCTCCTCCCCCCAGTGCTTCAGAAGAAAATAAAATAAAATAAAAAAACCTGCAGACAAATCCAGGTTTTTCTGTGGTTGTAGTCTCCAGAGAGATCACAGATGTGGTTTCACATTTCAGGTTTAACTATGGTGTAATAACTACAGTATTATCTGCAAGAGAAAGGCAAGTGGGGAAAGAATCATTAATTGACAGTGAAAAGTTCAACCTGTGCGCTGTGTTTGGTTTTTTTAAGCAGCCAAATGTTTAGCCAAACTATATTTTAACTTTTAACTGAGCCCTAAAGGTTACGATAATCTTGATATGTTAAAATCTAGGAACGTTATAGGAAAGGAAGTTCAGATACGTGTTTCAGAAAGGTCAATCATGGAAAAGCAGAAACACTTGTGATTTAGCTAAAGCTATGACACGTGCTTCAGTTTCAATTCAGTTGCCTACAGAGCTCCCGTGTGAGGTACAGTGACCTTACTTTACAACACGTGAACTTTTTTAAACATTTCAGTGGGTGCAGAGTAAGACAGCAGTGAAAGGTGAAGTTTCGTTGCTATGCACGTGAGGGAACCCATAGCTTACATAAAATGTTTAACTAACATCTAATTTTCCTGTCTCTTTTTAGCATTCATCCAGTATCCAGGAAGTCTGCTAGGTTTAACGAGTTCCTATGTGTGTGTAATATAAGTATTAGTTCAGTAAGACTACATGGGATATGTCTATTATTTGTTATTAAGACACCAGTGACCTTCCTGCTCCTATATTAGCAGCGCCTGCTGTTTTCCCATACTGCTGATTGTCAGGAATTCAGACCATACATATAACCGGGTATACTATTCACTCGTCAAATGATTGTCTCTGGAAAACAAAATAACTTCAGTTAATAATAAAAAAAAAAATAAAAATAGACACTTGGGAAATTTCCACTTGAATGCATATTTGAGGCTGAAAAAATGCATAATTTAGAGGGTGCAGGAGGCAGATTACATAATGAAATGATGTAGGGACTCTTAATGATCTCTCTCCTTTTAACAGGTATGCTTTTCTTTAAGATTGGTTTGGAGTTAGTTTTTTCCCCTCAATTCTTATTTTTTATTTTCAGAACTGCAGTGCACAGAAGATCACAGAGGTAGCTTGAACTCTTAGAAAGATAGCCCAGATGGCTAGGGCTAGGATGGGAGTACCTACCTAGAAAATGAAGCAACACAGTCTAAATCTGTTGCTTGAGCTTTAGGAAACACATGCATGGATGAAAACTCTTAAAATTAGTAAAATTCTAACAGGTGTATAAAAAGTTGTTAGTAACGGATGTAAATATTATATTATCTCTTCAGAACAATTGCTCTGTGGACTTATGTGATAAGGAAAGGCTGTATTATAATATACCTGCATCAAAATGATTCAGTTTGGCTGCTATACATTGAAAAAGTGCTCCTAGAAGGTGCACTTTTCATCACTACGTGCTTGAGTTGATGAATAAACCAACGTCTCAGAACAACGCTATGCTATGGTGGAGGATGCTGAGGATCTCAGCTTCCCTTAAGAAATACTAAATGAATTTAAATTATAAGATCGCTTTAAAAAGTCATTGTGAGGCTAAACATTATGTGATCAAGACCTCTAGGAGGCTCAGGAGTTGAAAGACAAGTTATGACAGTGTTCTGATATTAAAATTGCTAGAAGGAGCAAGTTTGATTGTAGTGAAATACTGTAGGACAGATGGTGCGTATAACCACTGCATCATACGGCCTTTCCATTCAGCTGTTACCCACTAGCTGCCTTGTGCTGTGAGAAATTCTTTTGCCTCCAAAAACTACTGAGATTTTGGTTTGGTATGTAACATAAGGAAGGAGTTCTTCTCTTTGAACATCCTCAACGTTGGAAGAAAGCTTTGGGTTTAGTCTGTGTTATTTTAACTTTTTTCCCTTCGCTCTGGTGGATAAACACCCTCAGGGCTGAAAATTCGTGTACAAAAAGAGCACAGGATATTAATCTAAATTCAAACGTATGGATTAGTGTATGTATGGATTTGAACCAGTTTGTTTTAGCAACATCCCCTTCAAAAAGGCTATCTGCAAGTAATCTCTGAAGTACGGAAGTTATTTTAATTCAGAAAAATTGGAGAAGGGAAGATATTTTTATTTTACACTGATGCAGTTCATCTTATTTTCTCCCAAAGGACGCCATGGTTTAATGGATGGGGCTTTAACCTACCCAGAGGTCAGTCTTTGCTAGACAAGTGGAACCTTATTCCTGAGGGAATTGATATACTAATGACACATGGACCTCCCCTTGGTAAGTGAAACAAAAGCTGTGTGTGATTTTTTTGCATGAGAATTTTACTTCAAATATAAGCAAAATTAATAATGCTATAAGCCAGACTGTAATGTCACCCTAACTCAAAACTATTGCTAAACCTGTTATGGAAGAAGCGTGAAGTAATTATTAGGCTTAGCAGATGTGTTGAGCTTCCTGGTGCTTTTTACTAAAAATTATATTTTTTGTTTAACTCAAGCTAGGAAAAATCAAATATCTGATTGCATAGCCGTTAGAGTTTGGCATTTTATTTAAGAATAGTGTTCCTCTGACAAACAGTTTCCAATCCCACGTGATTTTTCAGAGATTGACTAAAACTTCTAAAATATTTTTCTGCTACAATGACAAGTTTCGTTAAGGTTTTAGAGTATGCAGTCCAGGGCTCAGGAGTATGTAGTCACATATTCTCCTTGATCATTTCCTTGGAAACTTAGACTATGTAACAGTAGTGTTAAAGATACTAGTTGGCTTATAGCAAATTTGTGAAGGATTAAAATTATGTCTTCAGATAATTGTTCCTTACTCAAACTTACGACAGGTGAGGACAAGTATATGAATGCATAATTTGGTTTTTTATGAATTAGTTGAAGTTTCTCATTTAGTTAAAGATTGCTTGCCTTGTAAATGTAATTCATTGACCTCCATTGTAATTCTAAGTTCTAAACTAAGTTCTCATGGTCTCAAAAAGACACTGAGACGCTCATTCAACAGAGGCAAGGAGTACTTAGTTTCAGCATATCTAAAGTCATTAAAGCCTACACTAAAACCATTTGAAATTCCCCACTATTTTTTTCCCTATCATGTACCCCACAAGATATCGTACATTACGTACTGCTTTTGTTTAAGACATGTGTAGCAAGCAGTCTAGGACTTTACCTTTAATGTTTTGGTTGCTTTTTTAAATATGACTTATCAGGATAAGAAAATGTGTCAATCTCTTCATTACCGTTATTGTTGGTAGACTGTGAGTTCGTCGGGGTTTTAGTAATCTTTTGAAATCCAAGGGGTCAGATCCTCACATGATCACATGAACTCACTGACTTTTGAGATGGTAGTGAATATAAAAAAAAATTTCTCAGAATTGCAAGGTGCCGTTGTAAAACAGCATTTAAATGCTACCAGGCTGTGTTGGTGCACTCATAGAGCGTCTTGGTGACCGTGGAGTTAGGGATTGATGCCTGCTTATGTTTTGTATCAAGAGTAAGTTAAGAGTCAGCAATCTAAGCAGAGCTAATGGAGAAAAAACGTACAGAAAGTTTTTGACCAGTAACGCACTTACCGCTTCTCTCATATCTTGGTTACTCTATTAATACTGCTTAGAGAATGTGATAAGACGATCTGCAAATTCTGTTTAATCTTACTAGAGCTACCAGCGTGCTGCGTTGATAAAGCAGTGATACACCATCCACTGACAGTGGAGCACACTGGGTATTGAAACCAACGCTTCAAATAGCACTCTTTTAATCTGTTTATTTTCCCGAAGAAGAAAAAAAAACCCCAAGCATGTTTATAATGTTTCGTGGGTGCTGTTTTAAATGGGTTGCTAATCCATCTGCTCTGAATTGGGCTCATATAGAAATGCTGTGATGCTGCAGACGCTAATGAGTGCTTTAATTGAATAAGGGTTCTTAAATTTTGAGTTTGATGAAGATTATGAAGTTCAATTTCAAAAGGTTGGTACCGTATTTTAACTACAGATACAGATTAGGTGCTAGTACTGTGCCTAAAAAGAGGGGGTCTAGGTCTTAGCCTGCATGATAATATTGACAAAATGCTGCTTTTTAAATTACATAAATATTAAGGGAGATAGAGCTGTAACTGGACTCTGTTCTCTCTGAAATTCAGTCAAGTTCACGTCACAACATGTTTTTACTAAGGGGGATAAACTTGGCACAGGGTATAATTACTCTAAAGTCAGTAGAAGGGTGCTACAGTTGGTTGTGGCTCTGGATTTCCCTTTTACTCCTCCTTATTCATCTTGCTCTGCTGATCCTTATCGGTGCTAGGCCAGGCAGCAGACTTCTGCAAAAACTGATGTCAAGTTCTGTGCGTTTTTCCGTATTATCTGAAGGACTGAGTGGCAACATGGTCAATTCACACTAGCTTGTTGAAAGCTGTTTTGCTACGTTGCTTGTTGGTGGTGACCAGCGACTCAGAATTAACCCGATGCTTTCAGACTGTGGTTCTCTGGAAGTTGTGGGAGACCATATTTTAAATCTTTAGGGTGGCAGAGGTGTTGGGTCATAGATCAGCTGATCTTCCTGAGGTATTTCGTTTCTGGAGTAACCATCTAGCTGGCTTGGGAAGCTGACTGCTGTGAGAGCCAGAGGAAAGAGAAGAAAAATCTGCAGCAGTGCCAGGAATAAACGTCCCAGGGTTTCAAGGTGGAAGATGAGTCTAAACCTATAGTTTAAAAAAACAGGTCACATCCAGAAAAATATTAATGCAGATGGAGGGAGGAAATCTTAAGGAAGACAAAGTGACAGTGAAACGTTTCTTAAAAGCCATTGTGTGCTTTAATTGGAGAGGTTACGACTACAGATAATGTAATAAACCTTCCGTGAATTATGACTTCCTGAAAGACTACGTGAAACCTTACCTGAATAGAGGAAAATTAATAGTATTGATTGCATTTTGCCTTCAGGTTTTCGAGACTGGGTTCCAAAGGAGCTGCAGAGAGTGGGTTGTGTGGAACTGTTGAACACAGTGCAGAGGCGAGTAAGGCCCAAACTCCATGTATTTGGTGGGATTCATGAAGGTAAGGAGCAGCACTACTCCCCTCTTCGATCTCAGGCTAATTTCAAAGAAGTGCATTTTGATGGTGCCTTGCAAAGGGTAAATAATGATGTATCAGACTAAAGTAGGTAGGGAATTGAGGGGAGCAATTGCATGCACAATACTTTGTAAATTTATGCCAGAATTAAAACAGGGTGCTTCAGGAACATGTGCTACATTTAGCCACCTACATCCTTCACTGTGCAAAGGTTGTTCTGTACAGGTTATTTGAAAGCAATTCAAATTTTGACAAACTTAGTTAGAGAAACAGATGAGATCCCCACACTTGCAAGCCAAAATGAAAATTATTCCCATTATTCCGAGCACAGGAGCCAGGAAAGGTGCTAGAAAAAAAAAAAGAAAATCATAGACAACTCACTGTCTCAGCTCACCTCCCTCAGTGTATAAGGAAAAGCAGAAAGGAGGGCATCTTGAATCAGACATCAGGAGGAGAGATTGCCAGAACTCACTTTGCATACATTTCTAAAAGCATCCTGTAATACAGTTTGCACCGTGTATGTAACCTTCCAGCAATCTCGTATTCTAGAAGAGACATTTCCCCACTGTCAGTACCAGATCCGGCAGAGTATGAAGCTTCAAGAACAATAAGCTCAGTTTGTGGTAGTGGAAGAGACTGAGAGATTAAACACATCTTGGAGATACTTAAATATTTAATACCATTTTGTAGCTTTCATGTGGCTAAGAGACAAACATTGAGTTCTGCCTGAGAGAGAGTGTAAGACTTTGTGACCCTAGAACTCAAAATTACACATTAAATGCTTAATATTGTCTCCCCTGGAGGTTTCTCCATTGACTCTAATTAGGTTCTCCATAGGCTTAAAGATTTGGAGGACTTTGTAAAAGAAAAATAAAAAAAGGACAGCTTTCTCTACTAGTGGTGTTGGTTTTTCTGAAGCCCTTTTGACTTTTTACAATGAGTTTCATGCCTGGTATCTGTAAATAAAGAGATTATAATGGAAATACTGACATGACCTTAAGTGTAGTGGCATGAATAGCAGTCTTTTAACATACCCAGTAAAAGATTGGATATTTTGTATAAATATTAATCCTTATATATTAAGAATAAGTGAATAATACAACAAGACTTTCAGCTAAAATATGTAAATTGTCTACACCCTTTGTAGGCACGTTGGATGATGAAACTTCTAGTTGTAATAATGTTAAGTAACGGAAGAGGAAGGTATTTTAATGTACAATATTATTATTATGAGAAAGCACTGAGGAACCATGGGCAGCACCTTACGTTTAAATCTCATGGGAGAGGTGGTAGTACATACTAAAAGTGAAATTCAAATACATTCTTACAAGAATACTACAGAAAAGTTAAAATCCTGTGTAGTACTTACACAGAAGACATAAGAATGGCTTGTTTCAGTACAGAAAGAAATAGCCCAGTGTTAAGAGCATTATCTTACAGTGCAATTAATTCTCATCCAACTCCAGCTGAGATGAACAAGCACCACATTCCATTAAGTCAATGGAGGCTATACATACATTTTGGTGATGCAGGTTTTTTTCCTGGTTGATAAGCAAGAACAACTGCACACAAGATTTCTCCCACCATGAGATGATCTAAATCAAAATTGCCAGTCTAAATAAATAAAGTAATACAGGCGGACAGTGCAGCAATTCTGACGTGATTATTCTTTCTGATAGACACTGTGGGTAGCTGTATTTATCTTAGCTTTCAGACAGCGGTGATCTGTACTGTATCATAATGGTTTAAAAGAAAAACATTTTTTCCCTCTGGGCTAGCAATGGGAATTTCTCTTCCTCCATGAAACTCTGATGGTTTTCTTTTTTTTTTAGAAAAAGTACATTTGGTGCCAAATTGTTTCTTGATTTTTTTACTAGCTTCTTTGTTGGCTTTCTGTGGATGTCAGCTGAAAACAACAGCAAAACTTTTTCTCATGTTTTGCACTGGTGGAACTGGGGCCCCTCTCTCCTTATCCTTGAGAGAATGTCTGTAAGAGGAGAGCTTCTGCTTTCTCAGTATCTCTGTACTTTTGCTATCATTAGTTTTCTCACATCATGTTTGTTGAAAGAAGGCTCAGGTGTGACTCAGTTCATGGGTTGCTATAGTTTGCTCCACTTGCCCAAAAGCATTGGAGTACACAGCCTTCCGTTATGTCCTATTCCTGTGTGGCAAGTGGGAGAGAAGACAAAAGCCAGCAGAGAAACAGCATTGCTGCTGTTTACTGAGATGCACTCTGAACAACAGCGTTACTGGCCAGATGTTTAGAAGGTTGAGAACAGTCTTCAGCATCCTGAAACTGATGCCATAGTGTTACTGAGGGGTCAGGTCCTTGGCATGCTGAAAAACCTGTGATTAATATTCACTGCTTCTTGCTTTTTTATTCGGGAATGAGTTATCAAGATCCCTTCGTAATGAAAAGCAGTCATCTGTTTAACCTTCACCTCAATTTTCTGCTTAAGCTAGGGATCATCCATTGGCCTCCAGTGCTCTGTTGTGTTTGTAGCCGGAGATTCCTTTCCTTAGTCATGGTTTTCACTGGTAGATTTAATAAATAAATAAATAAAATATGTATGTGCATACATTTTTAACCCACTAACGAGTTTCCGAGGTTTCACAAGGCAGCACATACACCAGCTTGGCAGTCCTGTGATGAGGAACTGGATGATAAGGGCTGGCATGGGGAAGGCTTACCGGGTTCCGTTCATTGCCCAGAGAGGGGTGGTTTTTTGTAGGTGAAACTGAAGTTACTTCTAAATCCTTTGCTCCTGATTGATCTTTTTCTTGTGACAGACATTACAGGCATGCAAACTACAGCTCACTGATTAAGTAATTAGAAACAGTACATATGTGGGTTTTTTTTCTGGTTTTGCTGTATCAGTTGCAACAGAGGATTTTCCATGGGGGTAAAAAGTTTGTACATAGAACGAAAACATCAGTTCTTATATCAAGTACAGTACATTGTATTTTTTTTTTTTAATCAAGCTTTTGCGGCAGCTTTCAAGAGCTTGTATCATTTTGAAGGAATTAATTTAATTTTATTCCAAAGCATTGATCTCACAACAAGCTTTCAGTGCAGCTGCCCATGGGCAGTGTTGTTTGTTTATATTACAGTGAGTGTAACATGTTCTCCCTACAGGTTATGGCATTATGACAGACGGTTACACAACGTACATCAACGCTTCAACATGTACAGTCAGCTTTCAACCAACCAACCCTCCAATTATATTTGACCTTCCAACCCCTCAAGGTTCATGAAGCACTACTACACATTTGGAACCGGGGAAGGTCTATAAACTGCCATTTTCTAATTATAAAACGTACATTGTTACATGTTTATTTCAAAATCGGGGGGAGGTGTGAGAATTTGGGGGAACTATGGGCTTTTTGTTTTGGGGTGGGTTTGGGGAGGTTTTTGTTTGTTTGTTTTTGTAAATTACTGGTACAAAGGAAACGAAGAAGAGTTAGAGGTTGTGCTTTTTGGAAATGCAGCATTCATTTTAAATTGATAAAGCATTGTGAATTTGTAAAATGAATTTTGTTTTTCAATAAATTTGCCATTGTAAATTGTTATAGTGTTCTCAAAAGGACAGCCAAGCTTTCTTTTAATAAGTGAGAGACCTTATTTTAATATTATATTATAAGCTAAAAATAGGCAGCATTTAAAAACACCCAAATTTGCACAACTTATGTTATTGTCGGGGTTTTTTAAGTGTCTTCTTTTTCCCTAGTCTAAATGTTAGCTTTTCATCTCCATTTATATCAATTTTCTTTTTTGTAGCACAAACAGTATTTTGGGGTCCATTTGCCTCTTGATACGTGTGCATGTACTGAAACTTGTTTCTATTAACAGTAGAATGCTGCAAGGGGAAAATAGGCTTCTCAATTGTTTGTCTCTACCTGCTTTCTATGTTAAAGACTGATATAGATAGCCACAGCCTGTATGTGATATCTACTTTTTATTGTTTGTTTTTAAATTATTTTAGCTTTAAAAGACTGTGGGTGAAAGCTGCAAAGAGCAGGTATTTCATGCAGTAAAAAAAAAATGTAAATGCGGACTCCTTTTAAATATGAATTTATATATATATGTATTTTTTGTGCATTATAACTAAGCTAGGATTTAATATTGCCAGTATAGCATCTGCAAAATTATGCTGTACAGCACATCTAAATTATGAAGGATGTGACACATTTTCCAAGTGCTCAAGGCCTTCAAGAGCCCAAGTTAAATCTTTGTTGTAGTTCAGGCATGTATAGAGTCAAATGGATACAATCAAGCCTAACTAAAATAAGGCTTAGTTGTCCTTTATATTTAAATATTCTTCTTGTCTCTTTATTTCCTTCTTCTTATTTTGCACTGTGTGTAAATGCAATCTCGCTAGCACAAAATATTGTTGCAGATAGTTACTTCTGTTCTACCACTGTAAATGCTATTGAGCTTTGTTCTTTTTTATGTTACCTTGTTAATGGAATTTAGAAAAGCAGTTTTTTCTTTAAATTTATTGTGATATTATATCTAGCGGCCTTTATATGCAAATAAAATTGCAAGATTTTTAAATATGCGGTTTAAGGGAATTTTGCATTTTTCTGCGGCATTAACAATTTGATGGGCAGTGATAAGGGTAAGTAAGAAGTTTTCTATTTCTCAATAAATTTTTATTGCTTACCATTCATAGGATGTCATTTGGGTCGATAAAGCACTCAGACTTCTCCTTCCGTTTCTCTGCCATCCATCTTTCCATTTCTCTTAGACAGAAGAGATTTTGTCTTCAGATGTTGTAATTCAGTGCAACCAAGTTTGCGCAGTTAAGCCTTGTAGGATGCTATTCCAGACGACAGGAGGAAAAATTGATTAGGCAGTAACCTTTGTACTTCCTCACTTGGTCATTAGTACCGAGCTGCAAGTGCCTTATGCTCATCCGTTGTGGGTTAAGAAATGAATAGTCATGGATGAAATATATCACTTTTTATCTGGATTTCTTCTGAGTTTTGTGGCTACAGCAGGATCCACCACTGGCAACGCAGAGAAGCATCATTCAGTGTACGCCAGTAGAATGGCAAACATAACAGGACCAGCTGGTATTGCTGCAATACAGTAAAGTATATAATAACAGAATCTCATTCAAAAATAGAAGTTATGGTTGTGAAAATCCAGGTTTCAAACATGAGAAGATAAGGTATTGTTTCCATGAATCTGCACCTGCAGTAACGTGAAACAAGACCTGGAAAGCTACAGAGTATTCCCATTTGTCTTAGCAAGTTGTTAACTTTTGATATTATTTTGATACAAAGGTTATAGACAACAAATTTTAGACTCTTGGAGCAGAGTGCTGCTTTGAATGCACATTACACATAACTATAGAGTTAGGCTGAAATTTTCAGATTTATAAGCCTGTTACACCAAAGTCTTTTCTGGGAAAGAAGCTGCTATAACTCTTAAATCTAATTCTTGTTTTGTATATGGAATTTCTTGTCAGGTTTCCTTGTGGAATAGACAGGCATCATCGCTCTTTAACGGTACCTGCCCTGTTTTGCTTGCAGTGCTGGTTATTTTATCAATTGAGTCAAATGGAAAAAAGTCACCAAATACCAGTCCTTCCTTTTGGATGTAGATACAGGATCTCTCCTGTGTTGGTTTTTTTTTTTCAGCCAGCAATGGGAAGACTAGGGAATTGGTTTGGCAACCATGTCTGTTTACTGGCAAGGAATATGGCTATATTTAAGACGGCTGTCCTCCCTCAGATAAAGCATTTTCTTGGAGCACATGGAAATCATATATATAGTGCACCTTAGATCATTCTTTTTCACTGATCTGTTGCTTGTTGTCACTGCATAAGGAGGAAGTATCCATCAGCTGGGGTGCTTTGTAGTGCCATCGACTTCCAGATGAGCAGAAACTAGCCATTGCATCTGGATTGCTTTCCAGCCTTCTGAAGGACCTGGCACCTCTTCAATAGCTAGGACAGGTACCTGCTCCACTGTCATTCTCCACTTCAGGTGTCTGCCTTTAGTGAAAACTGAGGTATTCCTAAAGCAAAAATTTTAAGCCAGCAGCTTTGTTCCAGGATTTGAGCAGCCTGAAGCTTTCTGGCAGCAGACGGAGCCAGATGAGCAAAGGCTGGCGTAAGTTCAGCCAGGAGTAAGGCTGGTAGTGAGAAAATACCAGAAGCAAAGTCTTGAAGAAGCAAAAGTCTGTACCAGACTCTGCAATAAACTGTGAACTGGTACTTGCAGCTGTAGATGTTCTAAAGGTGTGTTATCTTTTGGTTTCAACTGTTGGCCATATGGCTTTTTGGCTGTGTGGTGCAGCAGGTGCGTGAAGTGGTTCTGCATGGGGGGGGATGTGCAGGCCTGGATTTGTAATAACAGGCTACAACTCTCTACTTCCATTGAGACAGGTATTGGGGATAGTCACTGCTTTGTCATTGGTTGATGGTGATGCTGAATACAGCTGTTAATTTAGAAAAATACCTAATCTTCAGGGGTACTTTCTAAGTGTGCTTTTCTCTTGTTTGCTTGGTTTTGGTGTTTTTCCTCTGGCTCTGTCAGCTTCACCTTGCATAGCACCGGTTGTTCAGCACTGAGTTTGTTCTTCTCTGTGGCAGAATCTTTTGAATTTTATTCCCTCTTTTGAATTTTATTCCCTCAATTTTCCTTTGTCCTTTCAGAAATTGATCTAGGTTTTCGTCTTCTGAGAAAGCTATCATTTTGGCTAGCGGCAATTACAAAAAGGCCAAGAAAACATTAGCAGTTTGGCATTTTTTCTTTCTATACTCTTTAGAGATTTGGCAATGTATACATGTCTGCCTGTGCTGTCGCAGGCAGGTAGTTTTCCTTTGCTGAATGTCAGCCATAACTGACAATCAGAGTAAATGGGACACAGTATGATTTGAAGAAGTTTGATTTCACAGGGAGGCAAAGTGCGATGAATCTGCTTCTTTTCAAGGATGCTTTACTACTAAAAGTAGTTCAATATCTGCATGCAAGAATAAACCTTGGATAATAAGTCTGTCTCCGGGGTCTGATCCAAACCTATTGAACTCACTGGGAGTCTTTCTATTGACTTCAGCTGGCTTTGGATCAGACACCTGGCATCTAGCTGGATTGTGTTTCTGTCTATTACTCATCCTTCAAACTGGAGTAGATGGTGCCTGGTTAACATGCAAGAACCTCTTGGCAGAAAGAGGGACCTACCTATTGTAAGTGCTGAATCTTTCCAAGTGATTGATTAACAGCAGCGTAGTCGATTAACCTTTCTTCTTCTGAGAGCAGCTTTCATCTAGTCATCTCGATAAGGCTGAAAGCAGTCAAGGCCTTTATCAGGGGAGGGCTGCAGAACAGGATGTTCCCCAGAGGTGATTGGTTCCCAATTCTCTCTGCATAGTGAATTTAGTGAATTCAGCAGACCTTGAGGTCAAGCATTTATTAGGCTAAGAGACTGTCAAATCAATCTGGCCTACTCCAGGCAAGTTCTACCAGGAGAATGGGTTTTGCCAAGACTCTGTCTAAGAAATAGATTGATGACTAACTCCTGGTTGAAGCTGCCTTTCTCTTTTCCATTTTCCGTGAATCAGATTTTTTCCCCTCACTGACACCAATATTTTCTCCCTAGACAAATTTTATTAAGGAAACTCCTGGAAACCATCTATAATTTAAGTCACAGGGAGACTTCCAAACTCTGCAGCCCTTCCATTCTGTGTTAAATTGACCCAAGGGCTTTCTTTGAGACCTTGCTTTTGACCACACCTGATTGAATTACATTTCTGGAATTTTCTCGTCACCTCTTCTTTCCCACCCCCGCTCCCTCTTTTTTTTTTTTTTTTTTTTTTTTTAACTTGAGAATATTTTCTAGTAGTTACAGACAGGCAGAGATCCTGATTTTTCCCTGCCCAACATGGTAACTTCTATTGGAAAGAGAAATGCATTGTAAAAGCTGCATGGAACAAAGCCTGCAACACAAAGCACTGGATTTTGTCTTGCCTCTATTTTGAGATATAGATCCTCACTTGTTTGTAGATTCCTCATTTGCAGTAACCAGTCTTTTATTGCTGCATCATTGTTTCTAATTTACATTCATCTGCTACTCAGATAAAACTATGTTATGATTAGGCTTGGACAACCGTGTCAGCTGTCAGCCCTTGTAGGACACCCAGTGCACTTTCGCAGAAGGTCCTGGTCGTCAGAGCACTGTCTGAACCAAAAGGAGCGCCAAGAAAGGGATTCTGAGTGCCGCCTAAGCGCAACATGGGAGGCTAAAG